CAAAACCACTTTATATTAAAATTCCTCTATCTATAGTCACCACTACTAAGTAAATCTCCTTATAGTCCCTATCACCAAAAACCGATAAAAATCTATAAATAAAAACCGCTCCTTATAGTCACACTTATCACGTGTCAGAGATTCTATTGGTTAATGTCTATATAAATGCGCAATTCATACTCAACAATATAAAATCGATAATCAACAAATTTTCTAGTCAAAATTTTATTCAATTAAAATTCTTTATTTATAGTCACATCGAATAAGAACTCGTTTTATAATCACTATATACGACTATGGCTTCTTCTTCCCAGCGCCCGTCGCTTTCATCATGAGTTCTTTCGCCAGTATCAACGGTTTGCGGCGTGTCTTCTGGTCGGCTTCCTCCTCCTGGGTCGATATCATACGTGATGGCTGAGCAACCTTCTAAGGTACGTTGTCGCGGTTCGTCTTCCGGTCGTCTCTCTCTCTCTTGGTGACGTTCTAGGCTCTGCGTGGCTGATCCATCGCCTCCTTTTGGTACGCTCACCATTTTCTTGTCGTTACTTCCTTCACTCGACAGCCCACTGTTCTTATTCATCGGGGTTTCATCACCGGCGGGTTCCGTGGTTTCGTTTACGTCATTGTCCTTTTTGTCGTCCTCGGCTGTCAGGGCTTCGTCATCGTTGGTACCTTCTCCCATGGTCTTACTGGTATGGTCGTTCACCATCTTCTCCTGGTGCTCATTCGTTGTCTTTGGCATTTCGTTTTCTTTTCTTGGCGTCTCGTCATTGGTGATCATCGGGGTTTTGTCGTGGCGCTCTCCAAGCTTTGCAATTACGTCAGTTGGGGTACATGTTGGCACGTCTATTTTTGGTTGTCCTATTTCTTCTATCAGGGTCTTGTTTTGGTCGTTGCTCGTGATTTCTTCTGAGGGCTTGTTCCTATCTCGCATGTCGGGAAGCGTCTCTCCTTCGTCGCAGTGGTTGTCGTTCTTCGGGGCCGGCGTCTCATCTTCTACGGTGTGCAAGTCTTGGGTTGAATGTTCCGTCCTTCCTTCGTCCTCCTTACGTCGCGTTTCCATTGCAGGCGACCCTAGGAGAAGGTTGTCCCTCTTTGGACAGTCCTCGGCGTCGCAGTCTCTCTTCCTTGAGTCTCTACGACCCTGTTCCTTCTCCGTCGGCGTCCCTGGTCTATTCACGCTTCTTTCAGCGAGGACAGAAGGTTTGCCGAGTTTCCTTACTGCCTGTTCTCCCGTCTTGCTTGCTTCCCTTTCGTTTTCCACCGCAGCTCTAAGCGCTCTTCCCGGCATGGTGGTGTTTCTAACAGCAGGCAACGACAATACGTCGTTCCTTAGTCCGAACACAAGTAACCATCCTGCCATTTTCCTGGAATAGTCGTCCTTAGGATAAAGCTTCTTGAGTAGCTTTCCAAACCTTCGGACGTACTCGGTTACCGCTTCATCCTTCCCCTGCTCGAAATTCTCTAATTCCGACTGCCATTGGCGCCGTTGCTCAAGCAACGTGAAATGCCGCAGGAAGGTCGGCACGAAGCTGCTTCCGTCGTTGCTCTCGTTCCAATAAACAA